TAACTGTGACAGATTACAGTTAAATTTATTTTGTAATTAAATTACATAATTCCGTTACATGTAAGTAGTAACTCCCCAACACTGACAATGAAACATACAGAGATGCCAGAAAAAGCATGTTATCGTCCTTTTACCAGGATTTTAAAGCATAGGTAGTCTGTATTTCAGGAAAATGTTCACACACTATAAGCCACACGCTTTTGTGTTAAACAAATGCATCGAGTTTAGTAAAAGGCGCTAAAAGCATCAGTCACTTTTGTCTAAAAATGTGTTTTGTACTCTGTTGTATTCAGACGTCAGCATTGATATGTAATACATTCCTATTCGTGCTTCAACTATCGTCACATTCTTGCAAAACACGGTGCATTTGTGGGTGGGTGACACAAATAGGATGCATTTGCAAATTAGTCTTTACAAATATTAATTGCGACAACAACCCTTGACAGCAATCTGCTTCGTTTGCCATAATTTTCACTTTATATTCACTGCAAAATCTAATTTTATACAGACTGTTTTGCAAATTACCTTTGCTTTTATGTTCAGCATGTACAGTATTTTTAATATGAGCTGAATTTCAGCGCACTTTATCCAACTCAGATCTTTTTTTCTTTTTCTAAAAGATGACAATCTTTAAGTATCTTCAAATGGGAGTTTTGACTTTTCGCTCATGTCTTTTGGCTTTGAGAAATCTGTATACTAGTGTCTTTCTCTTCTGGGAAAAAGGACCAAAAATACAAAAATACAGAAACTCATCCATACATATAAATATTTTTAGCTCTTTCTTCCTAATAATGTCCTTCCTTCCTAATAATATGTATTTGGGTAAGTACAGTGTATTCAAGGTGTAAGGAGATTACTTTCTACTTGATGGCTACGTCATGAAGATGATGACATCCTTATTTGTCATTGACCAGCTATACCCAGTCACATTACTAACTTGTGCCACTATTTGAGATGTTACTGTGACCTGAGAGAGAGAGAGAGAGAGAGAGAGAGAGGAGAGAAACTCTGGTGTTAAGAGGAAAATGTCAGAGAACAGTGATCGAGTTTTCCTCTCCACTGTGAACCCATTCTCACTTATTCTCTTTCCCTTATTTTTCACTCCCTTGATCTTCCTCTATCTTTCATCATGAGTTTCTCCAGCATGTCTTAACTCACTCTCGGTTGTATGTGTGAAATGGTCCACCCATGACCTGCTCCTCTTTCACAATCCTTCTTTTTTATTCCACTGTGTTCTGTGCTCCTGCTGGTTTTCACTTTTTGTGTATATGTTCAAGGTCCATTTCCCCCGTCACTCTTCTCTCTTCTCTTTCACTCACTTCACTTTCCTTTTCAACCGTTCTTTCATTCTCCTTGCTTTTTAGTATCATCCTCATTTCTATTCCATTCCATACTTGTCCAAACCTTCTAGCACTGCTTCTCCTATATGACCATAAGAGCACATCACAGACAGACAAGAAATGGCCATTGCTTCATGAAAAGGTTTTTGCTTTGGCATCAGCAGGTGTCCTTATGGAGATTATGGCACTGAATGCATTACTTACCGGGTGAAAGGGTTTTGAAATGTTTTGTAGATAATATAATTTTCCTTTCTCCTTCATTTGATACATCAAGGTTAAGTATGTATCATTAAAACATTATGCAGTATATGCTAAAATGAATTTATTTGTATAATGAAATAAGAACCATTTCACTGTAAACAGGAGGCAACTTTTATGATGCATAAAAACATGAATGAATTCTACATGGGCATCCCGAGGTAACTAGGAATTACACAAGCTTCAGTCTGGATCCAACCCTTACAAAGATATGAGATGACAGAACACCTGAGAAGAGATGATGCCAACCCCTCAGAGGACCTCAGATGACGACAACCCTGAAACAACATACAAAACGTACAAATTTTGCTATAAGTTTGATTGCAACATATAATCATTGCTGTTAATAGTGGTCACCGTTTGTTTGAATTCATGTAATTAACTAACCACATGATTTTTACTGTACATTTCTGCCATATGGACATCACCTTCACATAGTCTCTACTGATAAGCTACTCCTAAATATAATGTAGAAACTAATTTTCTGTGAAGCTGCTTTGCAACGATTTGTATTGTGAAAAGCGCTATACAAATAAACGTGAATTGAAGTGAATATATTTATATAGCATTTACACAATGCAGATTGCAAAGCGACTTCACAGTAACAAACAGGAAAAAAACTGGAAAATTAATTATGAAACAAATTCATTTTTAGCTATAAAGCAGCTCTATAGTGGATAATATTTGTCATTATTTGGCTCAAGTAGTTCAATGTATATTCAATTCAGTTTAATAACGGTGCCAATGTTGCAAAGTTCATTAACTATGAAATAATTTCAAAGGCAGCTCTACAGAAGACATTAGTGTCATTATACAGCTGTTGAATCAATTCAGTTTAAAAACAGTCTCTCAATGTTGCAAAGTCTGTACTTTCTGTTAATTCATTTTTTTTTATATTCAAAGCAGAAAAATATTGAAAGCAGAGAGGCCTTTTTTATTTGAGGAAATTACCTTGGTGGTAATTATAAAGGAAAATACATTTGGGCTATAAATACAGGTATTTAGACCCATTATGGTTTAAAAATTGGTTTAAAAATATCCCCAGGAAAAAACACACAATAGCCATTGTTATTAGCAAAAACACAACTCTGTGCTTGGACTTATCCAGTCTTGGCAAAACGTTCCATTTTCCCAAACAGAGATCTTTATCTCTCTCAGTTTGAAACTGTAAAATTGAATGGCAGGGGAGAGAAGCAACTTTATTTATAACCTGTGCTCCTGTGGTCAAAATTCGGCTCACAGTTTTGTTTTCTTCAGCATTAGCTGTTTTTTATACATTGCTGGGGCAAACACAAAGCCATTTGTGTTCTAGCCATTCATGTTATTAGCTTACCAGATTTGAGTTTAACATTGCATTTGCCTTTTGGATGATCAGGAGCACTAGCTGCCCACTTTGAGCCGTGAAGAGGTGCCGGGGTTAGTGTTTTCTGTCCTCCTTTTCATTACTTTCTCATTTAGTTGGCATCACCATGGTCGAGACCTACAGCAGGATGTTTGCTCTTTGTGAGCAAACAGATTGAAGTCAAAGGTATCTCTGTGTCTTCAAGTCTTCTAATTGAAAAGGGGGATGGCTGAGAGACCTTACGGACACACTCACACACATTCATGCATCCACAATGACACACGGATGACAAATATATCTCACTTCTAATCTCTGAATCCATTTTATATCCAGAGCACATAGATACACACACACACACACACACACACACACACACACACACACACACACACACACACACACGATGAACAGGTGTCAGGGATGAACAAATATTTTTCTTAATCTGTAATTTCACTTTTTCCATTAAAAATGCTTAAACATTCTTAAAATAAGATAAATGACTACAGTAAATTACTAATTATTTACTATGCATTGCAAATATGTATAGTATATACTTGGGGGAATGGTGTATTTTTGCGAGAGAAAACAAGTGTTTTGTGAGCGAACTCAAAACATTTTTTTTCCATGACCATGTCCAACTCATAGATTTATGGTTTAAGGAAAAAAGTAAAAATAAGTATTAACCAACAAAGTAAAAATAAACATAAATTGTTAACAAAAAAAGTCTGAATTTTAACCTTTGTGCTGTGCAGAAAATCATTTATCTAAAGTGGTGTTCCTAGTTAAAAATGACCAGCCTTTTAAAAATTGGTTGTAAATCTGTCATTATGCTATATTATCATAAAATCTTGGAATCAATCTTTTCATGCACCTCAGATTTTGAAGGAAAAGGCATTATTTATAGATAATTTTGGCAATATATACTCAAAAACGGAGGTGCATAAGTTCAGATCAGTGAGGCCTATGATCAATCAGTTCCAAAACGAAATACACAAACTGTGCTAATTTAAAGAAGCCAAGTTTAGAAAAATATTGAATCCAATAATTGGTAATAATATAGCATAACAAGACATTTAAAAGCAATTTTTTTGTAGGCCGGATTTTTGACCAGGAACACCACAAGTGTAACAAAGTGGAAGGAAAATCCCCAAAAAAGTACAAAAATTATAAAAAAAAAACTTTTGGGAAGTTGTTATACCCTGTCCAATGCAATAACATTAACTAGCATTTTTTGGGGAAAAGAAAATCCTCTTCAGGTCAAAATTACTGGAACACATAAAGTTGCTTTATTTTGTTAATTGATTGCCTTAAGGATGTTTAGATACTTTTACTTTTTTGCACTGAACAGACACTCCTTCTATAAACCTTATGACTGCCATCAGTGCCTTCAGCTAACATGTTTTTATTTATTTATTATTATTTTTTATTTCTTATAGGTCTTAAGGACACCTGGAGCAAAGGAATACCTGCAAAACAAAGCAAACTAAATGTATTAAATGTAAAGCTCCTGTGGGCATCTCTTTTTTATGACATTACGATGGAAGAACTTCAACTCCAGAAGAACTCGTCTTGATTTAACAATATGCTGTGGATCACATTCTCCACTGGGAGGCTGTTCTTGCGGCAAGAGCACATAGAGTGTAACGTCGTAATACTTTGATTCACAGACTCAATTTCTTTTTAATGAGCTGGAATGCGTTCCCTCTGTGAAGAATGAGAAGTTGAATGATGCTCAGTGAGCCATGCCCTTCAACACCTTCACACTCTCATAGACAAGCACAGGTTTGCTTAGGAAATCGAAGAGGAATGCTGCAGATGCAAAAATCTTGCCTTTGGATTCCAGAGTTCTGAAGGAACTGGAGTCCCTTAGGAGATGGAGATGAGACTCATGTGAGGCTGTCGGGTTGGTCACAAGGACAAGCCTATTGGACTGGTGCAAAAAAATTTCAAGGACACTTAAAGGTAGAAGAAAAACAAGACTTGTGACTGTTTGAGAATGTCTAACTTCAGAGCAACAATAAGACATTGAGTGACATTTGGAAATCACATATAGAAAGGCCCAACTTGGGTACAACATATCCAAAAACACAATTCAATACAACATAAAATGGCGGAACTTGCTGGATACAATGGCAGCGCGAGCTTCGTGTTCTCAACTGGTCTGCCTTTCAACTCTACTGGCGACTATGAGTATTATGAACCTGAACCCGATGCCAGCAAGATCATTATCCCCTCCATCTACGCACTGGTGTGCTGCGTCGGCGTCACGGGAAACGCCATGGTCATCTACGTCATCCTCAAGTACGCCAAGATGAAGACGGCCACCAACATCTACATTCTTAATCTCGCCATTGCGGATGAACTCTTCATGTTGAGCGTCCCCTTCCTGGCGACCTCGGCCGCGGTGCATCACTGGCCGTTTGGCTCGCTCATGTGCCGTTTGGTTCTCAGTGTGGATGGCATCAACATGTTCACGAGCATCTTCTGCCTGACCGTGCTGAGCGTGGACCGCTACATCGCAGTGGTGCACCCAATCAAAGCGGCTCGCTACCGTCGGCCAACCATCGCCAAAGTAGTCAACGTTTGCGTGTGGGGACTTTCGCTGCTTGTAATTCTGCCCATCATCATCTTTGCAGACACCGTGCCGGCGCAGGACGGAGGAGTGGACTGCAACTTTCTATGGCCAGAGTCATCGTGGTCAGAAGCGTTTGTGGTCTACACATTCCTATTGGGTTTTTTGCTTCCCGTGGCAGCCATCTGCCTGTGCTACTGTTTGATTGTGGTGCGCATGCGAGCGGTGGGTCTAAAAGCGGGCTGGTTGCAGCGGCGGCGCTCTGAAAAGAAGATCACACGTATGGTGCTGCTGGTGGTCTCCGTTTTCGTTCTCTGCTGGATGCCGTTTTATATTGTGCAGCTGATTAGTGTGTTCCGCAAGCCGCCGGACCCCATGGTGACTCAGCTATTTGTCATTCTAAGCTACGCTAACAGCAGCGCCAACCCCATTCTCTACGGATTTGTGTCGGACAACTTCCGCCGCTCGTTCCAGCGTATCATTTGCTTCCGCTGGTTGGAGAATGGACTGGATGCTGAGCAGGTGGACTACTGTGCTGTGGCCCTGCGGCGTCAGACCACATGCGGCCCACCGGATTTTCCAAAGGAGTGCTTGGCTTCCAACATGGTGTTTCGTAATGGAACCTGCACATCCCGTACCACCACTCTGTGAGTGGGTATTCAATGAGAGTTTATAAGGATATTTGGCTCAAAAATAAACATTTTGTCATTATTTATTCACCCTCATGTAGTTCCAAATCTGTACTTTCTTTATAGATATTTTGAAGAATTTTGGGAACTAAACAGTTTGGGTGACCACTGGGTCCTATTGTATACACAAAAAACAGAGATTTCTCAAAATATCTTTTCATGTCCAACATAAGAAATTAATACATGTTTGGAACAACATGAGGGTGAGTAAATAATAACAAAAGTTTCTTTTTGGGTGAACTATCCCTTTCTTGTTTCATTCACTGAGACTTGAAGTGCAGTACCAATTGGCAAATGGCTAAAAGCTTTTTTTTTGTGGAAAATGAACACAAAGGTAGACCATTCTGAGCAGTTGTAAGAACATGGTCCTACAAGTAGAAGCTAAAATTGCTACTGTACCCCAATATTTCTTTAGTCTACAATAATCATACCAATAAAAGATTAGTGTTGCAAAAAGGTGGAACATTTCCAGTAAATTTCGGAAATATTCCAGAAATTTTGGAAACTTTCCAGGATTTGTTTTAATATTCCAGGGATTTTTGGAAAGTTTCCTGAAATTTTCCACCCCTTTGCAACCCTATACCAGATATGAAATATAAGCATCTAAAGAGAAGAGACAGTTGTGAGAGGAGACAATACAGTGCATCTGTATAGATAACAACCAAAATGTTTGTTGGATCTTTGAATATCTTTCATGAACTTTTCAGCAACTGATGTGTAGCATTATTTTAATTCAAATGTGCTTAAGGGAATGGTTAACATCAATTACACAACATGATGTGGTAATTAGGATACATAATTTTCTCCTTATGAAAGTGTGGTCACATTTACCATTGCTCAGCATAATTGTATGTGTTTTTATGTGTTGACTAAGAGAAAGCTGCTTGATTTGAAAGTAACCTCTGTGTGAGTGATGTTTCATGCATCGCTACACTATTGACTATTTGCCAATATAAATAGAAATTTCATTAATGTGATTGCAACGTAATTGTCAGAATATTTTGTGCTCTTGATGAAGTCATGAGAGAACGAGGATGTGTTATGTCTCAGTTTGCCTTAAAATACTACTGAATTTCCATCAAAAACTCTATGTATGTGGTGAAGATGGCCCAGCAAGACCTCATTATGAACAACCAATATCCCCCTACTGTTCATTATGTGATCCTTATGTAATAATGTTAATTGTAGATTAATGTTTATATGAAACATATGTTGAAATGGTTATATGATTAGTTTGTGGATTCTAATTCTGTGTCCTTCTGAAAGCACAATATCACCATAACAAAATGCTTCATTTGTTCTTGCTTAAATCATTATTTACTTTATATTTGTGAGCCAAATGAGCCCAAATTTTACTCAGTTTACCCTGCTTTAAAACTGTGTTGTGGGTCCAAAATGTTGATATTTTAAAGTAAAATTTAAAAGACAATAAAAGTTGAGTGAACCTGGTCAGGCGTCTGCTGTTTGTCTGGAGCAGCGCTATTGCATCACATAGTGAAGAATTCTTTCAGCTGCAGCAGCATGATATACAAGGTGTTCGCTGGAATCGTAATTAAATTGACTTGAACTTGACACAGACAGATACTTAAGTTTCAGACAGGAGGAAAGCTAGTCTACCAGCTTTCAAACCACTGCTATCTGTGCTTGTTGCATCATTCCTAATCATTTTGAGGCTCTCCATCTGCTCAACCGATTTATTACCCCTCAAAAAAGAACGTCATGGACTGGTTTCAATCTAATGACATCTGAAGTGACACAGATGTGGAAGTTTGCCCATTCCTTTCCTTTAACCTTATGACATGCGTTTGCTCAATGCATTAACTCTTCTTTCAGTATGGCAGAGTTGCTGCCAAACACAAAAACAGAAACATTGTGAATCCAGCAAAAACAGCTGGTTTTGTTTCGTGACATGATTCATTTTTATTTCCTGACAGACAAAACTGCCTCTAACCAGCAAGAAATAGACACAGAGGTGTAGTTACTTCATGCTTCACCATAAGAAAATTTCATGGCCAAAGCAAACGCATCCTAAAGAGACTTAACATAGAAGTGGATATGCAGGGTTTATAGGAGACTTTACCATGTGTTCAGCCAATAAATCAGGCCAGCCACGAACAAATTAGTAAATCACAGAAAAGCAGAAAACACAAATAAAGAACACGTCAGAACATGCATTGTTCTCATGTTGATGGGAATATGGAGGAATAATCATCTGTTTTCTGTCTGCATGGTCCAGAATTATGTGTGGGGATTTTCATCTACAAAGATCGTGTATTTTAACTTGCGACATCAATTTGGAGTCTTATCAAGTTGCATGCAGTGACTCATGGTAATTTCTTTAGCATGCATGGTGATGCAGCCATACAAATGTATTGATTTCCAGATGTTTGAATGCTAACTTTTAATGCAAACAAGCTATTCATGCACTAAAGCATGCACAAAACATTAAACTAGCCTTTTTAAAATAGTAGTCAACTATCTGTTCACTCTAGTGCAGCATCAATCAGAAAAGACTCAGTGCTCCCAAATGAACTTCTATGAGCAGAAACACATGCATGGTTAACTGCCTCCCTGCTTTAGCCATTAAGCACATATCACTGTTTTAATGCACTTTGTAAACACTGACCTTCACAGCCGCAAGATTAACTAAAGGACCCAGGATCATTTGAAATCATCCACTGCAGCTGACTCAAATCACAGTGTTAATATTACTGTCAGCATCTGCAAAGCCAGTAATAAGGACACATGGCCACATGAGTGAATAAATTAGTGGAGATGTCTGGGAGAGGGAGAGAGCGAGAGAGAGAGGGGGGGGGGTCACATCACAGTGGAGTCAGCTGTCTTAACCGGGGCTTGTGTAAA